TTCACAAATTCTGTTATTGGAGGAGTTGGTTGTGGAGGTGGAGGTGGGGGAATCGGTGCAACTAATTCTGTAGCTTTTTTCTTTATAGTAGTACTATTGGTAGTAGTTTCACCAGGTAGGTAGATATTAATATAATAGTGAATGCGTTTGATGAGATGAACCACAAATTTTCTAAAACTCGAAACAATTTTTTCTCTAATTGACAAATGTGGTTTCTCTTCTTCTTTGTTAGGGAATATATAAATAAAAGAAGCTGTTTCTTCAAAAGGTTCCCGATTCGTTTCTTTGCAAAACGTTTCAAATTTTTCTTGAAAAATACCAAAATGTATTCTAGTCTTGACAATAGTGTCACTCGGTGGATAAATGTCCACGAAATAACTTGTGTCTTTTATTGGATCAGAAACTAACATCCGGAATCTCAAGAGTTTGAAAGATCTTTTGGGGTTCCTGCTTTTGACTCCGAATGCATTTATAATAAGGTTAGCAATCTTCAAGGTTTGAGTTTTCAACGATTTGATCGTTTCCTTAAGTTTCTTTTTAGATTTATCTTTATCATTACTTGCGGAAGAATGGGTCAGGTTGGTGGCTTCAGCTGGAATAACTTCTGAATGAATTGATAACGATGAATATTCAATAGCGTAAATGGGGTTCCTGCTTTTGACTCCGAATGCATTGATAATAAGGTTAGCAATCTTCAAGGTTTGAGTTTTCAACGATTTGATCGTTTCCTTAAGTTTCTTTTTAGATTTATCTTTATCATTACTTGCGGAAGAATGGGTCAGGTTGGTGGCTTCAGCTGGAATAACTTCTGAATAAATTGATGTCGATGAATATTCAATAGCATAAAAGGTGTCAACGTTTCTTTTTTGACGAATCTCTTGGGAGATTTGTCTAGCGCCGGCTTGACGCTTGTGGAATAAACCACGAATATACTGTTTCTTCATTGGTTTATTGAGTTCACAGAACTCTCTGAGTTTCAACAATTTGACTTTTGAATTGTCTGACTTGTGAAATTTGTGAAATTGGTTGGAGATTTTGGAAAACATATTGGTTTGAGTTGTTTGTTTGTGTATAAATTGAAAAAGAAAGAATAAACTTGGATTTCTGTGGTTTTTTCGCAATTAGAGAATTTATGTTTACGACCAAAACTTGCACCCAATTTGTTTTTTTCCCCCCACTAAGAATATTTTATCAATCAGATTTTACTTACACATGAATCAGAACTGGATTGCAAACTGTAACTTGCTTCTTCTACCCTACGTCTAAAATCCATCAAGGGGGCAACCTTGATAGGATCGTTACCAGTAATAGTCTCTAAATCCCCTTTACAAACTTATTGCCAATAATCTTGCTCTTTAATCTAGGCCGGATCCAAATCCCATAAGGACGTGTTTCCCAGGATTCAGTACATTTTGCCAATGCATTGTCATATCTGACTCAGATACCAGCTTAGAAGGTATATGCCAACCCCCCCGTCGATGCATTTTTTTAAATCCTAAATGGGACATATGACAGTTAAAAACTCTGGTGAGTTTGATTTACCACGACATGTAAAAAATAAAACCTAACTGAGTCAAATTCCAATCAATATTTCACTTGAACGATAACAGTCACACTAACCCACATCAACCCCTTATGTTGAATTGAATTGGTGGCATCACTTGTCATTGCCATTCTCAGATGAAGTTGTAAACTTGGAATTTGGATACCAGCTTAAAAAAAAATAAACTGAACTCTATCTCTCTTTCATTTTTTTTTTCGTTACTTATATTGATTTAATCTTATTCAATCTGAATCATCCTGGATGGAGGATTAAGAGGGTGGTTGATAAGATAAAGCTAAGATACCACGGGTATAAACAATGAACAATTCAACATCAAGAAAACGTCGAATACAAGACCACGATGAATCAGAAGCTCCATCCCTTAAGGATGCTAAAATTATAAACCCCACCTCGATTTACAATGGAGTTGAAATTGCCTCAAATGAACGAGTGGTATTCGATCTGGCGAAGTTTCCAAGCATATTCCCATTAGAATTGACTGTTGAAAAGCCAAGAATTCGGAAGAGGGTATCACTTAAAGATCTTCCAGATTCTGTATTGATCAAAATATTGGGGAACTTGAATCAAATTGATGCTATTCTGTTAAGCTTAACTAGTAAGCGGTTTAAAGAGGTGACACGTACTCGATTATATTCTACAATATATGTTTACTTTGGCCAGAAGAGACTCATTCCTAAAGATTATTATGTGCTGCACTATACTGATTTCACCCATATCCAAATGGAAAACTTTGAAAGAATGATCGAAGAGAAAGTCAAGCTTCCATCATGTAAAGCTATATTCTTCCCCAATGATAAATTTTTGGGTGTAAGTTATTTGCAAATGGTTTCAAATGCATTTCCCGGAAGTCAGGTGGTGCTTAGAAGATATTGGAAAGACAATGTTCAGCGTTGGATGTTCAACTGTCCTGATAATCCTTTCATAACCATGCACCATTTACTCGGTCCTACGACTAAGAAGGACCCAACTAGAGAACATGTGAGAGATTTGATAGTCACCAGGCATCCAGATATCGACTACTCTTATGAGTTGAAGAAGTATCCCAACTTGAGAAGTCTTTATTTGGAGCATATCCAAAGTTTAGAGGGTCTTCCCAAGATTTCTGCAAGGGAGGTGAAAATTCGTCAACTACTGTCATTCGATATTTATGATTTTTGTGGGTGTTTCGACGTGGCCAAGATCACTTCTTTAGATCTTCTGAAAGTTCTGGAAGAAATTGTTAAAATTGCCCCTCGTTTCAAAAGTCTCCGAAAGTTGTACATAACCCATGACGCATCCATAATGTGCCGATTTGCTCAAGCTTTGCCAAAAGATTCATTAACATACTTGTCAGTTCCTGCTCGTTCGATTGATTCATTCCAAGTTGAGGCATTACGTCATGCTGGCTCGTTGAGAATTATTTCAGCCAGTCCGTACTTTCAAAGCATTGTCCCGAAAGAGCCGTCAAAAGCAAAAGAAAAGGTCAAGCAGCTCGAATGGAACCTTTTCCGTTTTTCTAAACTTGAATTTGTCATATTCGACCGGGAAGCATTGCGAGTCTTCCGAAGAGATGAAACCCCTCGTTTTGAGTTTGTCCCTGTTGAGTTTCATCCCACGATATGCCCTTACTAAAAAAGTTTGTAGGCATTTAGAATAGTAAGCCTATTAAGGCTATATACTCGGTTATCGTAGTTGTACAACAAGGCGAAAACTTGTTATAACCGATCATGCTTGTAGGTGTATATAGATGCACATATAGATTCTTTACTAAGATTTTCGTCTAAATTAGACAATCAATTGCAGAATCTCAGATATTGGGGCATTCCATCGCATTTATTTAATTATTTGACCATTAAATTTTTTCTGCGTAACTAAACTAATTATTAATTTAAATTTCTTTTTAATAAGAACAATGGGCCATGAGATAAATTTTGTGGAACAAACAATCACGTATTTTTGATCAATTCAATTAATAATGGGAATGTAATGGGAAATTAGAAAGGAGGGGGCCAACTGCACTATCTTCATTGTTTAGTGACAGATTTATTATTCAGCTTTTTTTAAAAACATTCGAAAGCTTTTTTAAAAAGGACATACGGCGCTGTTTTTGATTTCTAATACTTTCTATCTTTACTTACTATCTTGTAATTAAGCATCAAATAATCAAATAATGGACAACGGTTACGTAGGAAGTGTTACTAGCAGTATCAATACTGGCAGCCCAAATACTGTTAGAACCGGAAAAAGATCAAAATATACCACGCCCTGCGACTTATGTTCAGTAAGAAGAATACGTTGTTCTGAAGTCAGACCTTGTTTAGGTTGTATCAAGAGGGGAGTCGAATGTACCAATAACAGAATCAAAAAGAAGAGTGGTCCCAAGGGGAAGAGAAAGAAACGAGGTACAACTGATACGGAGAAAGAATCTCCCAGATACGACGATTATGAAGCGTCAGCACAACCTCAGAATGATTTCACCCTGCCCATGAACCAACCTATGATCTCACCACCTCAACAACAGCAGCAGTATATCCTAGAACATCCCCCCATGGGATCGTTCCAACCTCCACCTATGTCCTTTGTACAAGCTTCAGTATCGATGGCAACAAATGGGACATCTAGGACTTTGTTTGAAGATGCTGCCATGTCATCACAGAGAACCTCAGTGGCATCAAGTCAATATGAACCATCATCAGCTGGCCCCTCGTATCAACCCAAAAAGAACCCCTTTTATAATAAAGAACCATCACCACCTACTGCAACCACTACCGATTCACCGCTATTGGCATCTTTAGCATCATCATCATTACCTTCATCCCCTGAATCAATCAAAGTATCACCCACTGAAGCTCAGATTCTAATATTTAATTATCCCCTTGAGATTATTTTGAAATATCTTGATATTTATCATAAGATGTTTTATGGAATTTGGCCGGTGATTAATATAAGTAATTTAATTTCCAAATTAATTGCAACTGGTGATTTTTCTCATATGGATCTAGAAGGTTCAATAGTATATACACAAGCATTATCAATATGTGGAGCGATCTCTAAACAGGTGACATTTTTAACTGAACATGCTAAATTAATCCAAAATGGGATCAATGCCGAATTGTGTATTAAAGAATGTGTTCGCGCCCGTGAAGAATTTAATCATAAATTAAAACCAGATGTTAATGTTATGATAGTTTCTTTGTTTCTTTATGAATATTATATAAATACTCCAGATGGAACCAAACTTGCCATGTTATATTTACGAGAAGCGATTTCAATTGCTCAGATATTGGAACTTCATGATCCAAATACCTATATGACCATGTCAATACAGGAATCTCACCAATTAAGAAAAATGTATTATATGTTAATGATTACTGAACGATATATGTGTATTGAAGATGGATTACCGGTGATATTGGATGCTTGTATTCCATTCCCAACATTGGAAGATGAAGAATATCCGGATTTATTAACTGGATTCACGGAATTATTAAAATTATTTTCAGTACCTGATAGATCATTTTTCGATAAAATGGCAAAATTAAAGAAATTATCCAATAATCTTGAGTATTTACAAAATTTCTTACATGATCCAAACACCGTCCCTACTGAAAGTTGGTTAGTCGATGTTGACAAAAGATTAGATGCTATCAAAGTAGTGAATTTCATTTCTGATATTCAAAAAGTTAACATCCTCCTATCCAAACATTGGATGAAATCCTTAACTTGGCATATCGCATACAAAAATGGATTGCTCCGTCAGAATGATATAAACAGCGATCAATATCCACATAATAACCCGGATGATGAAACTAATTGTTTAAGTCTCGCCTATCCCAAAACCATCGCCTATGATTTCTTAAGTTCAGTAAGCAATCTTCCAATATTCGCATTTGAATCCAATGGACCCGGGGTTGTGGTGAAATTATTAGAAATCGCTCATGGATTAGCCGATTCAATTAATGATCTATCCCTAATCAAAGGAGAAAGTTTTAATCCATTACCGGTTCAAGATGCCATGAATTCCATTTTTACACTCGTGGCGAAATTTAAAACTGAAGTAACATTACCTACTGATCTTTATCGTAGGATTGAAACAATGGTTAATAATTTCTCGGTGCCTAGACCATTGGGATATTTTGAAGAATTGGATAGTGATGATTCAAATTCTCCATATTCGAGATTTAAAGACACATTTACTCATAATGATTTTATCCATAAATTAACCGATGAAGTATTTGGTGGTGGAGATGGATATCATCCTGCTGGTAGTAGTAGTAATAGTAGTAGTAGCAATGGTCAGAATCACAATGAGAATATATTTCCATTTTCTGATATGGAATTGGAAACTAATGATCCTAGGGAAGTATATGCTATGATTACCAGTAGATTAACTCCAGCTCAGATGGAATCGTTTGAGAATTGGTTGACTAGTGTTCCAAGTACTACTATGAGTTCAGCGGCTCCATCTCCTAGGTTTACGACAATCGGTTGAAAAATGTACATTTCTATTTATAGGTTGATTTGTAAAAACATTTTTAATGTAATAATTTAATGAATGTAAAAGTATTTTATGTTGAATGATAATTGGCATTATATATGTGGATCCATCATGTATCTGCCAGATCCTGTTAGGGCCGGGTTAGAGATCTTACCCGACCCTGCCCAAGCCAAAAAAAAAGTAGATAGCACCGAGATAAGATAACAGCAACAAGTGTCGTCAATTTGCGATTAATGTCTCGCGATTAGATAATAGAGGCTTTTGTTCCTGTCTATCATTCTCGAATTGAAACTGTTGTTTCTCGATTTTAAGTTTCATATCAGGTGAACAGAGTTTATGAATTATATTAAGAAACGATATATAAACTACTTTATTTCTTATTTTACTTTATTATTTAGATTCTATTCTTTAACTAACGAGTTTTTATTATATTACATTATATTATTGTTTTTGTGTGACAACTCAAATAACTATAATACTCTTATTGATCATTATTGCAGAATAGCTCAGGAAGCTATCAAAGAAGATCGATAATACAACAAGTACTTAACGTTAACAATCAAAATAAAGAGGGCACCAGATCCTTAGAATTATTAACTAAAAGTCAACCCAATTATACCGGTAAAAACAACAAAACACGATACAAAACTCATGACGCGTCAGTCAATTAGCACATAATAAACCTAAATAATGTTTTTTGCAACTCTAAATTGAATATTTATTCTATAAATAAAAATGAAAATTCTTTTTTTAGTAACCAAGAATATTTTTTGTGTGTGTTACTTAAAAAGAAATATTTTGTAATACATGCAGGAAAACGGTTTCTTTTTTACTGTTGCAATGAATATTGTTTATCCTATTCACGCATAATCTTACCTTTACTATAAAATTTTAAGTCATATCGCGTAAAAAATATTAAGATGTGTTTGTCTTATGTGAAGTGAAAAAAAAAATATCGCATTGTTTTCTAATTTTTTTGTTCCATTGAAGTTTTTGTTATTAATAGAATTCTGGGTATTATATTGAGATAATGTGAAACACACGTGTGTGTCAATTCGCCACTACATAGCACACTAACTGATGAATGAGTGTGAGGAAAAGAAGTACTACTGGTAGTATTGATGAGATTTTGAGATAGCAACTAGAAATAGAGTTGTGAATACTTTGTCTCAGACAGCAATCCACTGGAATAAGCATTTAAAATCTGGTTGCAGATATTTCATACATCATCATTATTTACGGGAAATAAAAATAAAATTGCAAAATTAAAAAATAAAAAATAAAAATAGAGAAACGTGCATACACACACAAAAATAAGATGAAATTAAAATATACAATGTATTATTATAAACAATAGCTAAAGAATGTGTGGTGAATTCAATTATTTTTATTTACATTGCTAAGCCCCTTACTATTTTGAGATCAGCCTTGGGGGCTTCTTCTTATTCTTCTTCTTCTTCTTCCCCTTACTTGCTTGCTCCCTTTATTTACATTTGATAAATTTCTTAAATTCTAATTTTATTTAAAAATCTTTCTTCTTCCTCTTTTTTGATAAGAAATCCAAGCTTCCCTTTAATTAAAGCCTTTAGCCGCAAGGATCTACCTTTCAATTAACTGTTGTTGTTATTACTTATATTATTATTATTATTATCCTACTATTAGTACTCAGGTATCACATACCCACACAATGCTTCCTCCATTTAATAACTCTTCAAGGAAAATAAGTGGAAGAAAGATTCTTTCATTCAGAGCCATTAAAGTTCCATTAGTCATTGCTATATTTATGTTATTCTTATTTGAAGTATCATATCTTTTAGATTATACGTCTACTAGTCCTATAAATAGTGTGCATCAATATGTATCATCTAATGACGCATCAACTCACAGCACACATTCCGGATCAATTGATGATTATTCCGCTGAAGAATATGAGGACGATAAAGAAGAAGGACAAGTCGCAGCAGTAGTAGTTCCATCTAACACTGTTAGTGCACCCACCAATACCAAATTACCAGGTACTACTACTCCACCACCACCAAAGAAAACCACACCAAAAGATTTTTGGGAATCAATTTTTAATATATTTTCAATTTATAAATTTGAAAAAGATGATTTCCCCTTGATTAAATTGACTTCTAAAGAAAACCAATATAATCCAAAAGAAAAGACAAGAAAAACTTTCTTATCAAAATCAATAATTAAAGATATTGAAATGTTAAAACAACATCATAGAAATATTTTTAATTCATTACCAGATAAAATACCTGATTCAGTATATGAACCAGAATCAAAGGGGATAGTTACAATTGGTGGAGGATTCTTCTCCTGGATGGCATATATTCAAATATTACAATTAAGAAAAATTGGATGTGAATTACCCGTTGAATTAATTATCCCCAAAATTGAAGATTTTAATCGTGAACAAGATTTTTGTGAAAATCTATTACCTAAATATAATGCAAAATGTATTGTTGTTCAAGATAGATTTGGTGTTGATGTGGTTAAAGAATGGGATTTTGCCAGTTATCAATTCAAAGCCGTGGCATTAGCCATGTCAAGTTTTCAACATACGTTATTATTAGATTCAGATAATGTTCCAGTGCAAGCTCCTGATAGATTATTTGAATCAAAAGTATATAAAGCAAATGGAATGGTATTATGGCCAGATTATTGGCAAAGAACAATGAGTCCAGAATGGCATGATATTATTGGCAAACCATATTCTTTAACTGAAAAAGTTAGAGATGGTAGATTCCCCTTGGTTATTCCTCAAGAATTAACCCCTGAAGAAGAAGAAAATACCAAGTTTAATGACCTAAAGGGAACATTGGCTGATTTATCTACTGAATCAGGACAAGTCATGATTAATAAAGGTACCCATGGGAAAGTTGTCTTGATGACATTATATTACAATCTTTTTGGTCCCGCACTTTATTACAAATTATTCAGTTTAGGTGCACTTGGAGAAGGTGATAAAGATACATTTGCCGCCGCCGCTCATGTCTGTGACAAGGAGTATTATCAAGTTAAATCATATATTCATACCTATGGATATTTTGATAATGGATATCATGGAATGACAATGGCGCAAAAAGATCCAGAAGAAGATTATCAAACTTATCTTAGAATTGAAAAAGAATATCGTGAAAAGGGTAAGAATTGGGACAAAGCTGCAAAAGATCAATTTAGTGGGGATAATAAGGTTCCTGTGTTTACTTTACATTGTAATATGAAAAAAATCGATCCCGCTAGTTATATCAAAGATGAAAGTATAAGTGATTTGGAAGCAAATAGAATGAAAGTAAGATTTTATTCAAATTTTAAGATAAAATTACCAGGATCCGATGGAAAAGAAAAAGTACTTGATTTTGAAAGAACAAGATGGGAAACTATTGAAGAAATTGCCTGTCAACAAAAAGTGAAATTTAGTATATTTAAGGATCAAAATATGGATAAAATTTGTACATATATTAGGAATACCATTGAATGGTTAAAGGAAACTGAGAAAAAGTAAACGGTCAGCTCAATTTTGTAGATTTATAGAGAATGTAAGAGGATAATGTCATTTATTTTTTAAAAGTCGTCTTGACATCTGTCAAAATGTAGTCTTCTGTTCGTAGAATTATAAACCTGTAATTGATGACTAGTTTTTTAATATTTGAGTTATTTTTAACTTGGGACCAATCCATGCATGGAAAAAGTAATTATATTTAGGTTATACATTTGCGTTTGTTTTCTCAATTATAATTACAGAATGAAGGGGCTTAGAAAATCATCAAAGGGCTGACAAGGAGGGCTCTCAAGCTACGTCCTGTAGGGTGATGTAGGGCCGTCTCTCTCTTCCAGCAGTCAATACCACTGTGCTTGACTATCCACCTATGAACTGAAGAATTCTAGCTGTTCGCAAAGATTCCCTGGGAAGGCTTAGAAGCCGTTATATTCAAGTGATGATTTCCAACTCCCCCCCTTTATTGTTCTTCCCCTCTTAAGAAACGTCAACATCAAACGATATAATTAGAATCAAACGTTCAACTATTTTAAGATCATCGGACATAATGATATAAATAAGAAACACAAACGGATATAAGTAGCCTTCCTAGGCGTATAAATAGAGATGAAGTTTGCCCATTTATCTCAGCCCAATCTAGTTCTGTTTAGAGAAAAATCTACGCTACCAAACAAAATGTTTTCCTTATTAACCACATTCACATTATTCATTACTTCAACACTTGCATACGTTATCCTAAACGTCCACTCAGACAACCCAACCATCAACGGTCAAGGAATCTACGCCCATACCGATCTTCAAGCACCATATCCTACTTATTTATACCTCGGCTTCAATCTCGAATTCTTATATAATAAAAACCACGAAGCCTTATATTATTATCCCGACGGATCATCCGATTATACATTTTCATTATTTGTTACTGATAATGGAACCTTGGCCATGCAAGAAGTATCGAATTTTAAATCCCCCTTATCGGTGAATATCACAATTGCGAAAGGTAATGGATGTGTTTTTTTCAATGGATCAAGTTCTTTGTTTGCCGAGAAGAATGTGGGGTCGGTGTTTTCGGAAGATACGTATGCTCTTAAGACGTATCCTAATGGTGGGGCTCCTGCTGGTGCTATTCCACTTACTTTAATTGGGAAGTTTTCTACATGAGTGTGCCTGTGTATTTTCATTTTCTTATTTCCAGTTTTGATATCTTATTCAATCGCTAGTTTATGTTGTCAATAATTGTTATAAATTTATTAATAAATAAATCAACCAACCTTGTTTGTAATCTCGGACATTTGCTATTGTAGAGTTATCTCTNAATAATTGTTATAAATTTATTAATAAATAAATCAACCAACCTTGTTTGTAATCTCGGACATTTGCTATTGTAGAGTTATCTCTCTCATAAAGTAGTCAAGCTCTTTGGATGTTGTCAATGTGTCTAATTATAAATTGAATTATTTTTTGTTGTCAAGAACAATTATGTGTAATTTTTTGCAGCCAAAGTTTTAAAATCTCTGACTTTTTTTTTTTCGTTATAAAAGTATGTATTATAACATACACAGGAATGGCAACACCGGCAAGTTACATGGAAGGGGATTACACAACCTCAACAATAAGATAGATGTTCTGAAGTTGTAGGGCGGAATTCCATCTGTATAAGGTTGAGGTGTTGCATGTACTCGAAAGCCTTGTTTGGTTCCCTGCGTCAAAAGGGATGAAGGGGGTTCTTCAGGCAGTTCAATGGGCATTCCAAGAACACTTTTTACAATAGCCATCTTTTATTTGGCATTTATATCGATTTGGAAGATGACAATCTACATCTATCCTGAAACAATTCTATCAAATTATAATTAGAATAACGATAGTGTATGGACTAGTAAGTGATTGCACAAAGCAGTTAATCTAATCTTTTTCCGTAAGTCACGTGAGTCTTGTCTTAAGAAAAAGTCCGACTTTGTCCGACCTTTTTTTCTTCTTCCCCAGAAACAAATTCAAAAATTTTGAAAAATTCTCAATAGCCACTAAGATTTCGCTAAATTCAAGATTACGTAATTAAATGTTGATACATATTCTGGGAAACTATTAAAACCAATTAGAGAAAAGCCTTTGATTGGAATGTCTTTAAGTATTGGAATAATAGTTGGCTATGAGTTATATAGACTTGGTGTACATATTGTAAGCACCCCAAGTTGCTTTGTAATCAAACGTAGATTGCACATTGTCCTTTCATTTTTGTGTGTTAATTAAAGTGATGATCTGATTATCGAAAAATCTCTCCCACCCCCCTTGCAAACCAAACAACTCAAAAGGAAAAAAAAACCCTAAACTTTTTTACAACCCTTTTCCCAATACTTCTTTTTCCTTCTTTCTGCTTCTTCTTCCTTTGTTGTTTGTTTTATTTATCAATCGACAATCGTTCGACTAATCCCATATAACACACATCACACAAGACAATGCTTAGAGCACTTAGAAAACAAATAAAACCCATTGGAATTCAATCCAATAGATTCTTTTCCCAATCAATCATTAAATCACAAACAATTGGTTCAGGGATCAAGGGCCAAGAATTCAATTCTGCCAAATACATGGCCCAAAACTATCACGTCATTGATCATGAATATGACTGTGTGGTTGTAGGTGCCGGTGGTGCCGGTTTGCGTGCTGCCTTTGGTTTAGCTTCTGAAGGTTATAAAACCGCTTGTATTACCAAATTATTCCCAACAAGATCCCATACTGTTGCTGCTCAAGGTGGTATTAATGCTGCCTTGGGTAATATGCATGCTGATGATTGGCATTGGCATTTCTATGATACTGTCAAGGGTTCAGATTGGTTAGGTGATCAAGATGCCATTCATTATATGACCAAGGAAGCACCACAATCAATTTATGAATTGGAAAATTATGGTGTTCCATTTTCAAGAAATGAAGAAGGAAGAATTTATCAACGTGCTTTTGGTGGTCAATCTAAAGAATATGGAAAAGGTGGTCAAGCTTATCGTACATGTGCTGTTGCTGATCGTACTGGTCATGCCTTGTTACATTCTTTATATGGTCAATCTTTGAGATACGATTGTCATTTCTTTATTGAATTCTTTGCTATGGATTTATTAATGCAAGATGGTGTTTGTGTTGGTACTATTGCTTATAATCAAGAAGATGGTACTTTACATAGATTCTTTGCCAATAGAACTGTCATTGCTACTGGTGGGTATGGTCGTGCTTATTTCTCATGTACTTCTGCTCATACATGTACTGGTGATGGGTATGCCATGGTTTCTCGTGCTGGATTACCTTTGGAAGATTTGGAATTTGTTCAATTCCATCCTTCTGGTATTTATGGTTCTGGTTGTCTTATTACTGAAGGTGCTAGAGGTGAAGGTGGGTTCTTGCTTAATTCTGAAGGTGAAAGATTTATGGAAAGATATGCCCCATCAGCTAAGGATTTAGCTTCTAGAGATGTTGTTTCTAGAGCAATTACTATGGAAATCAATGAAGGTAGAGGGGTTGGACCAGAAAAGGATCATATGTATTTACAATTGAGTCATATTCCTGCAGCAGTATTAAAGGAAAGATTACCAGGTATTTCTGAAACTGCCCATATTTTCGCTGGTGTTGATGTGACAAAGGAACCAATTCCAATTTTACCTACTGTTCATTATAATATGGGTGGTATTCCAACCAATTGGAAGGGTGAAGTATTGAAGAAGGATGCCAATGGAAAAGATGAAGTTGTTCCAGGTTTATTAGCTTGTGGTGAAGCTGCATGTGCTTCTGTTCATGGTGCTAATCGTCTTGGTGCCAATTCCTTATTAGATTTAGTTGTTTTCGGTCGTGCAGTTTCTCATACCGTTAGAGATTCATTGGAAAAGAATACTCCAATTCCAACTCATGCTAAAGATATTGGTTATGATTCAATTGAAAACTTGGATAAAGTACGTAATGCAAATGGATCTATCCCAACCGCCGACATTCGTCTTGCTATGCAAAAGACTATGCAAAAGGGTTGTGCCGTTTTCCGTACTCAAGATACATTAGATAAATGTGTTGAAGAAATTGCCGAAATTGATAAATCTTTCAACAATGTCAAAACAACTGATCGCTCGATGATTTGGAATTCAGATATGGTTGAAACTCTTGAATTACAAAATTTGTTAACTTGTGCAACTCAAACTGCCACTTCAGCAGCCGCAAGAAAAGAATCTAGAGGTGCTCATGCAAGAGATGATTATCCAAATAGAGATGATGAAAATTGGAGAAAACATACTTTATCTTATCAAACCAATGTTGGTGATAAAGTTAGATTGGATTATCGTGATGTTGTTAAAACTACATTGGATGAAAGTGATTGTAAACCAGTTCCACCTGCTGTTCGTGTTTACTAAAAGTGCTTCGCCGCCACGAAACGAAAACAAGAAAAGGAGCTGGACTTTTATTTTTATTTATTGACAGTTAGTGTATAGTTTATATGTTTATGTTTTTATTTATATATGTAATGAAAAATTGATATTTATTTCGTGTTTACTTGTGAACCTTGAGATAATTAACTGTAGGACTACATCATAGTGATGTTGTTAGTGAGAGGCTTAATGACGTAATGATGATTTGGTCATTACCCGGCCAAAATTTCTTTTTTTTTGTCTCGGCCGGATTGTTGGACGGATTAGCCGAAAATATGAGTCTGTACAGTATCAACTGAACACACGATATTGACAAATACTAAAAAGTAATTCAATTATTACAAGTCCTTGTTTATTGCGTATTATTACGTGATATATATGAATAGAAATTACCTGTGTGAGTGATTCCAACGGACATGAGCAGAGTTTATTGCCGACGTTGTTGTCTGGAAAAATCGAGACTATAAAGTGAACGATCGCGATAAAGGCGGGCAATGTCAATGAGACTAAATCGCTATCACCACAAAAATGTATAAGAACACAAAAGCATTGTGTATGCTTACCGTTGGCTATTCGGAATATTTATCGTAAAATTGACAGAATCCAATTGGAGATCCCCAACGATCGGCCATCAGCCCCCCACCTTTTCAAACCAAAACCAAAAATAGGAACAATACGACGATCATCCGTATGCAGGAAATTATTATTTTTGCCTTAGAATTGCTATTGTTCAACACGGATGTTGTATAAATACCACAGCAAGTCCTCCACCGTCGTCGAACGAAAATGATGAAAACTTAACTCACCACTTCATACTTAAGAGCAATGACCCAACTTGAATCAAACGGGAATTCAAATTCAAAAGAAATAACTTCATTAATCAATCCTGAAATAGGACCCTTACCAACGCAACAACCAACCCTCCCCACCAATGTCCTTGATTTATTCTCTCTCAAACTGAAAGTCGCCGCTATTAGTGGATCTTCAGTTGGGATCGGATATGCAGTTGCTGAAGCCTACGCCCAAGCAGGTGCTGATGTTGCCATTTGGTATAATACTCATCCTGCTGATGAAAAAGCTGCAAAATTAGCAGCAAAATACGGAATCCGTTGTCAGGCCTACAAATGTAACATCACCGATCCTGAAGAAGTTGCAAGAGTGATTAATCAGATTGAGCAAGATTTCGGCACCATTGATATCTTTGTTGCTAATGCCGGTGTTGCTTGGACTTCTGGTCCAATGGTGGATGTTCATGATGGGTTTAAGAGTTGGAAAAGGATTGTTGATTGTGATTTAAATAGTGTTTATTATTGTGCTCACGCTGTTGGGCAATTATTTAAACGGAAAGGAAAGGGGAGTTTTATTGTTACTTCATCGATATCTGGTCATATTGTGAATGTACCACAATTCCAAGCCGCTTATAATGCAGTAAAAGCTGGTGTTAGACATATGGCTAAATCATTAGCCATTGAATGGGCTCCATTTGCAAGAGTTAATAGTGTTAGTCCTGGATATATTATTACTGATATTTCCGAATTTTGTGATCCAGAAGTTAAGAGTAGATGGTGGCAATTGATTCCAATGGGTAGAGAAGCTCTGACTCAAGAATTGGTTGGTGCTTATTTATATTTGGCTTCAAATGCTTCTACATATACTACAGGTACCGATATTGTTGTTGATGGTGGATACACTTGCTCATGATTCTTATCTGCCGCTCATACGCTTGTGCGTGATTCTTTTCTCTCTCAATTATAGATTGGTTTATAGATTTATTTTACATATCAATATTAAAACAAACCTAGATTATTTATAAACAATGGTGTAGTTGGTGATATTTTGATCAACTTTGTGCTATAGATTCTAGAATATAACGTCATCTTCATTCTCTTTAAGTATATCGTCATCTGCAATGGCCAATTTCTCAACTTCCTTTTGAATCTCAGCTTCATCGGGTATATGATTAAGGTTCCTAATAAGCTTTTCATCGCCAGCTTTTCCATTTGTGGCAGCTGCCGCAGCGGCAGCTTGAGCAGCTTCTAATCTTTCTTTATCCTCAACTTCAGATAATGCTGCTGCTTCTTGTTTCTTTTCTTGAACTTTTTTCAATCGATAAAACTCTTCTCTATCTAATTCATCTAATTCAGAATTAATATAAGAAATGGTATTTTCAGTTCTTGGAATAATAACATGTTCAATTGCATTAACTCTTCTATTAGTTACTTTAATAACTTCATCCAAAATGATAAATGCCGTTTGTAATGATGCCAATTCAACCAAAGTTTCAACTGCTTTAGTATAAACCAATTTTGCTCTTTGAACTTGTTGACCACCTCTACCTAATCCAGTCAATTTAAAATCATTAATATCTTCATTTATATAACTTTCAAAAGTAGGTAAATAAACCCCAGAAACATTTTCTTGTTTTGCTTTAACTTGAAATCTTGCTTTTTGAACTGATTCTTGAACTTGATAACCAATATTATCACCAGTAGCATATTGAACTTCTGCTAATGAAAATGCAGCAGTTTGCATAACTCTACCCATCTTCCGTTTAGCTTCATCAATTCTTTGTGTGATATCTCTAAATCTTTTGGTTAAAGCTTCTGATTTTCTTTTTAATAAAGAATGACCTTGTTGAGCTCCTTTTAATTTCCCCTTCATAAGACCTAAAGTCATACGAGTAGGAAACACTTGTTCACGATTACCTGCACCTGACATCTTGCGTCGTTGTTTACTTTATGGGATGTATTGGGAAGTGTAGATGTCTATTGGAATTGCAATTGATTGAGTGATATCAACACAATCGATAATGGGTTTGAACGATGAATTGAAATTTAGTCGTAATTAGCCAAGGAGGCCCAACACGCACTGAAATATTTCTCAACTGAAAAAAAAAAACTAAGATTGATTGTTAGGTCCAATTTTTTTTTCTCGTTCTAGATTTACCACGGGAGAAGATATCATTACCCATCTTACGTTTTAATTGGAAACGCAGCAGTAATGCTGGATATTTATAGTATTGACAAATTGATAGAAGATGGAGATATTCCTTATGAAGAAGCTATAAGTAAATAACCAATTTTTCTAGGTTATCTTATTTAAATTATCTGAATTCTAATCAAGCAGCTTCCATCGCAGTCCTTAAGCAAGTTTTCATTTTACATCGAGCAACTACACCCATTCCTCATTCCAAACAATTATGGCAGACATATATAAAACTATTACTTGATCACAGCAGTCATTTCAACTATACATCCCATAAAGATCAATTGCATAATATCAACAAAATATTCTAACGAGCGATTACTAGTTTGTTGCACGTGCCAGGAGATGCCCTGATTGATATTTGGAAATCATTCCTTGAATTTTTAATGAAGGATTTTTTATCCTGATGTGAATAAAATCTTGGGGTAATCTTTTCAGTATGAATTCCTTTCTCAGTATTCAATAAGTATCTTTGTATTTTCTTGTAAAATATTCAGGAACTCTCCTTAACTGATGTAGCTTCTGATTCATCGTGGTCTTGTATTCGACGTTTTCTTGATGTTGAATTGTTCATTGATTATACCCGTGGTATCTTAGCTTTATCTTATCAGCCACCCTCTTAATCCTCCATCCAGGAAGATTCAGATTGACTAAGATTAAATCAATATAAGTAACGAAAAAAAAATGANAAAAAAAAAACAAATTGGGTGCAAGTTTTGGTCGTAAACATAAATTCTCTAATTGCGAAAATGCCACAGAAATTATTTATATTCCTTTCTTTCTTCACTTTATTATAAACAAATACACCAATCAATTATGTTCCGCAATATATTAGACAAATTCCACAAATCTAACAATCAAAAAGCCAAATTGTTGAAATTTAAAGAGTTCTGTGAACTCGATAAACCAATCAAAAACCATTCATTCGTGGTTAGTTTCTTGATTGGTTTATCGAGTTCACAGAACCATTCGTGGTTTATTCCACAAGCGTCAAGCCGGCGCTAGACAAATCTCCCAAGAGATTCGTCAAAAACAAACCGCTGATAACTTAAGTTCAATTTATTCTGCAGAATCTTCATCTTCACCAATTTATTCCGAAGTTACTCCTGCTGATGCCACCAACCTGACCCAACCTATAGAAGAACCTTATTCAGCTGGTAATGATAGAATCGTGTACATTCAAGACCTGGATCACGGCGGTAAAGAAGAAGATAAAACTAAATTGACAATTAGGGACACGATTAATTCATTAACAACTCAAGATGAAGATTCAGTAGAATAAATTGAACTTGAGGTATCAGCGGTTTGTTTTTGGCAACATGGTTAACCGGAGTATAAAAGCATTCAGATTCAATGGTAGCAAGCCTGAGAATCTTCTGTAGGTGGGGTCAGGTTGATTAGCAGGAATAACTTCGGAATAAATTGATGAAGATGAAGATTTAGATAAATTGAACTTGAGGTATCAGCGGTTTGTTTTTTTGCAACATGGCTAACGGGAGTATAAAAGCATTCAGATTTAATGGCAGCAAGCCTGAGAAATCTTTCAAGATTCCGAAAATTTGTGTTTGATCCAGTCAAAGGCATTGGCTATTATATTGATAACTATCCACCTGGTGATGCTATTACCAATAATACTACTTCAAATAAAAAAGCTGCAGAATTAGTTGCACCAATTCCCCCACCTCTACTTCCAACAACTCGTCCAATAACAGAATTTGTGAAGGATGCACCACCACCATCAAAGTCCAACCTTCACCGCTTCCATTCAATTTCCACCTCCAAGACCACCACCAACATTCAAATCTTCAACCA